TTATCCTACAGTTTTATTGAAAAAAAAAATCTTTCAGCACACGCGAAATCCAAAAGGGGCCTAGACGTCTGATATGTTTTTGTAAGTTTATTTTTCTTTATAAAAAAAAATATAAATTTCGCGGTTCAGAGCAGTAGCTGTTCGTTACTATTTAGTGGATTTAGGACAGTTGCTATTCATTTGATCTTTATCAGTGGAAGATCTTGGAATCCCCAGTGCTTGTCCAGGCGGGCTACATTACACTTTAACTTGCGACTCCACTGTTCACTAAAAGTAATGCCTTTATACGTCAAGATAAAGTATGTCTTCATAACTCTATTCGAATGAGAAATTACTCAGATATCTGTTAGTTAAAACAAATACCTTCTCGAATGGATATTAACTGCAAACTAAAAATTTGTTTTGACACAACAGGTGCATGGCAAATTCTGAAATTTTGCCAGTAAAAAATTCAGGACAGTCTGGTTAGTGATTACGTTGGTAGGAAACGTATTTGCTGCTATTGGGCTCGATGCAGCGGTTGAAATTTCTGTTGACGCTTTCAAGTGTCTTAATAGCAGTGGTTATCGGTTTTTTATCGGACGAGTATGGAGAAGCAACGGAAAGAATGACTTAACTGGAATACAGAACATCAAAAATGCTAAAACTGGTATGTTGCAGTTTATAATTCTCAATACAAATTTCTCGGTCATCCAAAACTTGCTTTGAAAGTTGGCAACCACATCAAGTCCGGCAGTCCTACAAAAGTCGGGAAAATTTAATGCTTCTTTGATTTTAATAGCATTTTGAGCGGAAAATAAACAAGGCTGAATTGAGTCTGCATAAAACCATGTGCGAGGAGAAATTCTGATAACAACGCTTGCCTGGGTTGACGATCATGTGTTTTTGTAGTCTGAAATTTGCCACATCGCTCAGCGAGACGTTTGCGTGCATGAAAGCTGCAATTTCTTTTGCATGAAAGCTGCCAGAGAGTTAAGCATTATTCCCGTAAAGTTGCAGCTTTCTTGTTTGTATGATTGCCCAAAGAATAGGGTGACGATAGCATTGCATTTCGGACATTTGACGTGTGCTTGTGCGGCACACAAGTGTAAGAAGAAAGCCATTTTACGCTTGCTGCCCCGCACATGAACGGTAAAATCCTCAGAAAAATACTGTTTCCTGCATAGTCTGGTTACCGACCTAACTGGGTATTAAAAATGTCCCAAATTAAACATACGTGAGACTCAAGCCTATTTCAAAGCTAAATATGGAATATTTGAGTTTTATGCAGGCGTAGAAAATCCTCATAAAATTCCAGTCCCAAGATTCGCTGCTTGGCGAAATCAATTTTAGTCGTCCCCTAATGCTCGGTGCAGGCGTATACCAAGTACACTTTATACCTACTTATCGACTTGCAGGAAATAAATATTGTCGCGAAGCTAGGGCGCTCTAAAGGGCTCGGTTCCCGAATTGGCACTTAGCCGGCGAAGTTTCGATTTCAAGGAATGGAATACAAGGGATGAAACACAGACTGCATCGAAAAATATCACCCTACTACATCTAAAGGATTAAGGCAGTTTGCACCATAAAATATCACCTTACACATGACCCCTGCGTACATTCCTGTTAGTCTGTTATTTCAACTTCAACATATCAGTGCATGTGTCGCAAACTTACATGTCAGCTTTATTTGAAATCTCTTGCGCATTCAAGGAAATTTAATATCCTTGTGAAATTTCAGCTTCCTATATTATCATGAAATTATTTTTTGTCTAAAAAATTTAGGTTTCTTTGGCCTCCCTACTTGAGACTCAAGCATGTGTGGCCGGTGATTTTAAACGGGAGAATCACAAGTGGGATGGGAACATGTTCCAAAAGTTTTGACTTTCTACCTTCTGCAGATGTTGAGCTGAAAGTGAGTGACAAAGTGCACACACAGGCAATCTCTTGCCAGTATGCATTTTTATGCGTTTTTGCATATATGCATATTGAGAAGAGGCTGGGTGTGTGTGTCTGTGCGTTCGCACTTTTTGCCACCCACTTTCAAGTCGAGAACCAGAAAAGCTAGAAGGCTAAAACTTTGGGAGTATGTGTTGCCCATACCATGCGCGACCCTCCCGTTTTAATTTCATCCCCGCGGACGCCTGAGTGAGGCGTACGGGCGCTTTAAAAAAGGCAAATTTTTTGGCTGGAAAGCGATCTCGGGAACCACAAGAGCGAAGGGGCTGAAATTTTGCAGGGATATTCTCTGTGTATGTGATAGCTAAAAGTTTCAATTCAGCCCCCAGTTATGCGTAGTACTTAAGTAAGGACATATGAAAGTTTTAGCGAGAAAATTCCTAACTTGAGAACCAGGAAGGCTAGAAAGCTTAAATTTTGGAATAATGCTCCTTATCCAAGTGTGATTCAAATATTTCAAATCCAGCCCCGAGCTGTGCGTGATACTCACGTAAGGGCGTATGAAAGTTTCTGCGGAAAAATTACTAACTCGGGAGCCAAAACAGCTGGAAGGGTGAACTTATAGCGAGATGTTCCCTGTCTACGTGAAATTTAAAAATTTCATGTTCAGCTTTCTAGGTACGTAGAGTACCCATGTACGAGCATGTGAAGTTTTTGGTGGGAAATTTGCTAACTCGGCAACTAGAAAAGCTGAAAGGCTGAAATTTTGGGGAATGTTTCTTGTCCAAGTGCAACTTAAGTGTTTCAAATTCAGCCATGAGATATCGGTGTTTCCTATATGCAGGCACTTAAAAGTTTTGGCGGAAAAATTTCTCACTGAATAACCAGGTTACTTTTAAAGAACGGCCGTTAAACGGAAGCTACCCATTGTAGGTGTAAAGCAGTAACCATCCATGCAGTTAATGACCTGAGTACTCCAACTCCGGTGTAAAAACATATGATTGCACGGGCCCGTCCGGTGCGTTCCAGCCTGAGTTGCATTTGCATGAATAAGCAAAAATATATGAAATCTCACAAATATTCACAATTCGTGCTACATGCGTCACTGCATATCTTCTCGTAACTAGTGTAGCTAATTCCATTCTACTTTTGTCTCAGCAACATAATCCCGAGCAGCTTTTCGGACGGTTCCCTTATATTTACGTCCGCCACGGTACAAGAATATTTGTTGCCCCTTTATAATCTGAAAAAGACGAATGTGTTGTAAGAAGCACATAATTGTTTTAGCTGGTATCAAATACGTCGATGGATACATTTTTCCATGCTTGAGAAAGACGTGTGCATCTGCTGCTAATCAGGTTTCCAGACCTTTTTTTAAGATTTTGACAGAAATTTGTTGGCCAGCATCATTTGAACAAATGAAAGGATTATTCTCAAAAGAAAACTGAGAAATTGGAGGCGTTCCTCGAGTGCAGCAGTCTTGGTTTTTATGCTTCTAGGCATTAGCACTTTACTTGTATTTCATGCCAGCACCGCTTAAGAAGTTGTTTGTGCATCAGTTTTAGATGAATTTTTAGAAATTTCTGAATTTAGGTGCAAGAAACAATTGAAAAAATACGGGAGAAAAGAGCGCGAATAGGCATGCTCTGGCTCGATGTGGAGCGATTCAACTGGCCAAAAGACAAGGAGTACAATCAAAGATTCATTCGAAATATGACAAAAAAAGCAAAGGTGTGTGCTAGCTACAGGGATAAGCAGCGAGCGGAATGCAAGTTGATTGACAAGGGATTACCGGTTTCTTTTATGGACTGTAGTCATCCGCATTTGATCAGCGCCATCGCGTTAATCCGGATTTTAACTGGCTCGTTGGAATTGCTCTCAAATTGGCGGTATCTCAAATGGTTTTCCAGTAGTAATACGCATGTGCGCAAATAGCACCCGATGCTTTAGAGAAAGCCAGTTTAAAGGAAAAAATATTGCAGTCTATGGGCATCAAAGTTGGCGTTTACACGAACTATTACAACTGGCAAGAGATTGTCGGCTTGAACTGGGAAAAAATGAGGAAGTACCCACTGTGGTGGGCGTATTACGATGGAAGACAGGTACATTGATGAGTTACATTTCACCAGCAGCGTGTGTCTTTTTCACAGCTCTTATTTTCCATCTTTTTCAAATCACAGCTGGTTCTCCGTCTATGCAGCTGGTATATTTTTAGTCGCTTTGACTAATGTTGCATCGCTTGGTAGTCGGCCTGCAAAACTTACGTTTGCTTCGTTTCCTGAAGGGATCATTGGTTCAGAGCAGCGATTCTTTCAACAGAATTGCTTAACCAGACTTTAGCAGATTCGCAGTGCTAACACGTGGCGTATTTACAGTAACGACGTATTTACCATTTTGCCAACAGAAAGCGATGAAGTCCACAGAACGCAATGAAATTCCGCTAAAAAGCTTAGCAAATTTAAGCAAAAGAGTACTGTTCTCCTATGATCCTGCCTGAACACTGCTCCTGTCAAAGCTTCTGCTCAGGTCTGGCTTATATAGACCGTATACCACCCATCGGATTCATTATCCTGCTTTTGTTCA